AGATGTTGGCGGGGATGCGGAGAAAGGGGAACCCTCCTACACTGTTGGTGGGAATGCAAGCTGGTGCAACCCCTTTGGAAAACTGTATGGAGGTTCCTCAAACAGTTGAAAATAGAGCTACCCTACGATCCAGCAATTGCACTACTAGGTATTTACCCCAAAGATACAAATGTAGGGATCCAAAGTGTACGTGCACCCCGATGTTTATAGCAGCAATGTCCACAATAGCCAAACTGTGGAAAGAGCCAAGATGTGCATCGACAGATGAATGGATAAAGAAGAAGTGGTATATATACACAATGGAATATTATGCAGCCATCAAAAGGAATGAGATCTTTCCATTTGCAACGACGTGGATGGAACTGGAGGGTGTTATGCTGAGTGAAATAAGTCAGTCAGAGAAACACATGTATCATATGACCTCACTGATATGAGGAATTCTTAATCTCAGGAAACAAACTGAGGGTTGCTGGAGTGGTGGGCGGTGCAGGGATTGGGTGGCTGGGTGATAGACATCGGGGAGTGTATGTGCTATGGTGAGCACTGTGAATTGTACAAGACTGATGAATCACGGATCTGTACTTCTGAAACAAATAATGCAATATAAGTTAAGAAAAAAAAGAAGAAGAAGATAGCAGGAGGGGAAGAATGAAGGGGAATAAGTCGGAGGGGGAGACGAACCATTAGAGACGATGGACTCTGAAAACAAACTGAGGGTTCTAGAGGGGAGGGGGATAGGGCAATGGGTTAGCCTGGTGTTGGGTATTAAAGAGGGCACATTCTGCGTTGAGCACTGGGTGTTATGCACAAACAATGAATCATGGAACATTACATCAAAAACTAATGATGTATTTATGGTGATTAACATAACAATAAAAAATAAAACATAAATAAAAAAATAAAAAAAATACAACCTCAAAAAAAAAAGTTTGGAGGAGAGACAATCTCATTCCATTTAAAGAGGCAGTACCTTAGTGGTAAAGAGAGGATATTCTAGAGACAAATTGTCTGGTGTCCTGACTGGGTGATCTTGAGAAAACTGATTAACTTCTATGAATCTTAATTTCTTCATCTGTATAATGAGAATAATTATAATACCTTCCTTAAGCAGAACTGTTCGGGATATTTTGAAGATAAATGACAAAAGTCATGTTAAGAACTTAGCACAATGGTAAATGTAGTAAGTACTCTCTACATATGAACTTCTTACTATTTCAATTGCTATTTTACTATCACAGGAAGAGACAGAGGAGAGAAACTCTAACTTAAAGTAGAAGTTTTAGGCAGCTGATAGAGCATGTAGGGAGATATAGAAGCAGGAAGAGCAAAAGAAAATAAGTACTTTCAAGAGGCTTGAAAGAGGTTGACTAGGGCAGATGAGCTTTCTGGTGAGAAAGAATTCAGAGATGTAGTGCAGTTAGCTTGTGGAGGGCTTCATGGACAAGGTTATGGGATTTACGACTTATCCTAAGGACATCTGGAGGCTGTGAAGGTTATGAACAGGTAGGAGAAATAATATTAAACAAAAATAATGGCAACATTTCATAAGCACTTGAGAATTGTCAGGGTGGTTTTAAATACTCTGTGTACATTAATCCATTTAATTTATTCAATTACCCTATGAGGTGAATTAAATATTAATAATTGACCTTGTAGTTATCCATAGCATTCAGAGTACTTTCCCAGACAGTATTTAATTTGTCTTTCTCAACCATGGTCTTAGGTGGTCGAGCCCAAGACTCAGGGACAGAGGAAAGGATATTGGCCAGATTTGAAGGGGTTGGAAAAATATAGTTTGCAGGTCATATGTGGCACACTGCCAATATCTGTAAATAAAGTTTTACTGAAACCCAGCTGTCTCCATTCTTTTGTGCATTATCTATGTCTACTTCTATGCTACAAAGAATTGAGTACTTGTGACAAAGACCATATAGCTGGCAAAGCTAGACCATTTCCTGTCTAGCCCTTTATATTAAAAGTTTCTCAACTTCTGGTCTAGAAGAGTGGAAAGATCTTAGACTTTGCTTCCACTTTGAGCTTTGCCGCTCTAGGTAAGTAGGCTTGGGGAGTCTGATATATGAGTATTCAGAGTGGTTACTGTGGACCCCACTCAAAAGGATGATGAACAGATAACATTGAAGCCTAAAGTCTTAAAGATGAATTGTCCTAAAACCACAGATTCTAATTTATTATGAATCTGATAAATCGCATAGAACAAATTTGTAGAATAATCTTTTTTTTTTCCTATTAAAGCTAAAATAAGAAGAAATAAGCAAAAGAGGAGGGAAGATTTACTCAATATGCAGACTGGTCTCTTTAATAGGAGTTTTCAATAGTTAGCCAATATAGTCCCTCATAAAATATTGAGTAAAAACTATTACATTTAGCCAACCTTCTGTACAAAACTCTTACCATAGCATCCTCTGTGGGGTCTAATGTTAAATTACATAATCCATAACAATCTTTGTCTGAATCTCAAATTCCCTTGCAATCTATAGTACTCATTCTAACTCTCAATTATCTAGTCTTTAAAGTGTCTCCTGGATTATCCACATATATCTCTTCAAGATTATAAACATAGTGAGGGCCAGGACCATGTCTTCTACTGCTGTGCATTTCCCACAGCTCTGAAGCGAAATGATTCATTGAGTGACTGAATAAAAGAATTCCCTTAAAGTGCTAACAGTAGGTACAGTATGTTACTATGATGATTTGTCTTTCTGTTGGGTGCTTTGTATGAATTAGCTCTAGTTCTCATAGTGCCGTGTAGTTCTTCATAGCCCTCCGGGCTACACGGTAATAGGTCCAGCTTAAAAAATGGGGAGTGATCCGAATTGTAATGAGCTGGATTACCACTTGAGCTTTTCTCCATGTAGGTATAGGAAAGTGGTTTCCAATAACTGCACGGACGGAGTGAGAGAACAGTACACCGCCAAACCACAGAAGTGTCCCGGGAAGGCCCCGCGGGGGCTGCGCATCGTCACTGCGGATGGAAAGTTGACAGCAGAGCAAGGGCACAATGTTACCCTAATGGTGCAGCTGGAAGAGGTAGGACCAGATCCCCAACCACTTTATCTTCTGGGGGCAGTGATTTTTCCTAGGAAATCAGATTTGGTGTATGTGTGTTTTTGTTTTTTTTTTTCATTTTAAACGTTGACATTTTTAATTTTTTTCTACTTTTGGCTCCTTGGTTTGTTGTTGTTGCTCTTATTTCCCCTTCCTCAACTATTCTCATTTCACTGCAAGTTGTTCTTCACTCTTAATGTATCATTTCTGGGAAGTTCTTTTTGGATTTAACTATGTGTCATTGGCATTTCCAGCCCAAAGTTTTCTCAGAATACATTAATGTTATTCCAAAAATAATTTAGCGCACACACATGTTCAGCCTAACAGATACTGATGCTGTCTTCCTCTCTCAACATGACGTCTTGGCTTTTCTTTTCCAAAGGCAGCATGCTGGTCATACATAAAACACTAAGGCTAATCTAAATATAATTGAGTATGCTTTCTTTGGCGATTGAAAGTTTGTAATTTTGTAGCATCTCAGTGATATCATTATGAGCATCAGTGACTGACAAATTATGGTTATCTGAGATTTCTGAATATTTAGATAGTGTATAAAATGAAATTTATACCATGTATTTTTAAATATGCACAAGCATTTTTATCATCTTATAAATGAAGATGTTCTCTGAAGGATGAACAATTTCATTAAATGATCTCAATTATCAAGCCAGAGAGTCCTGCCTTCAGCCATGTCTTCTGAGTACTAAAATATGGGCAGCACCGTGCTAGGCCTTGTGAGCACAAAGGGATTTAAAAAGTTAATAATGATACTAGGATTAAGATCTACATCATTGAATTCCAGCTTCTTCTTCTGATAGCTCAGGGTTTTCAGTCTTTAACATGAATAAAAATTACCTGGTGAACATGTTAAAACAGTTTTCTGATTCAAAGATTCTGATTCAGTAGGTTGGGTGGGGCCTAAGAATATGCATTTATAATAAGACTATGGGTTATGCCTTGTGCTCCAAGAATAAACAGAACAAAACAAGAGCAAAGTCAAGAGGGATAGAGTAGCCTTTAGAGGCTCTGAGTGTGACTTGAAAGGGAAAAGATGAAGCATTTAGGATTACTTTGTCAGGATTGATCAACATTATTGGTATTTTAATTCCTGTAGGAAAGACAACTGTGAAATAATGAGTTTGAAATTCTGGCTCAGACGATCCTGATGCTTAAGGACCGCTTAGAGAATCATCCCTATAACCTAATACTCTTTTCTGTTATCTCCTTAATAAGTGCCTTTCAGCCATACCCATTCTCCTAAATACAAGGTTCCCCAAAATTCTTCAGCTGGAAGTAGAAAGATACAGACCAATTTAGGCCAATTGGAGTTGCTCACATTTCACAGAAATAAAATCTTTAGGCTTCTGCCTGAGGCTATGACATATTAGCTTGCAGCAAATCAAATATATATGTATATATTTAGAGCAGGAGTAAGATTCTGAGAGAGAGAAAGAGAGACATAAGGAGGAAGAAGAGCATGAGAGAATTGTCATGAAGATTTGGGCAAACAGAACCCTTTTCTTCAGAGACGGGAAATTCACTGTAGCAGTCCAGCAATTCATGCTGTATTTGCCCACAATGACTGCCAATTCATACATCACACTGTAGAAGAGGTCAGGTTTCAGATTCCCAGTTAGAAGGCCAGACAGAAAGTCTTGGCTAAACAACTGGCAGTAGGCTCACAAGGCTGGGAAGATAAAAATTGACTTCAGGTCAGATCCCAGAGAGAAAGGAAGCATAGAGAAGTAGCACCGTATTCTGTGCATTTTTTCCCTCTGAGCTGTGTGGTGGTATCTTAAGTGATACAAGCAAAAGTCAGGTATAGTTTTTAGAAATACATAATAAATAAAAATAGGAAATAAAAATTAGAGCTCAGGGACTAATTAAGAAGGAAAGCCCTGGTGAATAATACAACACTAGATTCTTGAGACTCCTGGAAAGCTCCATCCTAGGAGTGAGGACACCCCAGAACTAGATTAGGTTCTCTAAATGCTGAAACCCAATCTGAAATTATTTCAGTCTCTGAAGGGGTTAGAGTGATTTTCCCCCACTCTAAATCTGCCAGAAGCTAAAATGAATCCTCTTTAGAGGAAAATAACATAAATCAGAAGCCTTACCTATATTTTTTCATATAAAATGTTGGGTGTTTAATTTAAAATATTACATATATATCAAAGAACAGGACCAGGAGGAGGAAAAAAGCATCAGAAAAAATATCAGTTGTCTGAGATATGATTAATATGTTCATGAATATAGGTTAAGACAGAAAATGCAACCCTCCATCAGTCATCAGTAGGAGGCAGTAACAAATGGAAGTTGTAGAAATAAAGATATAATAACTGATATTAAGGGGCACCTGGGTGGCTCAGTCAGCTGAGCTGTGGAGTCTTGGTTTTGGCTCAGGTCATGATCTCCTGGGTGGTGGGATGGAGCCCCAAGTCAGCTCCACACTCAGCAGGGAGTCTGCTGGAGGATTCTCTTTCCCTCCGTCCCTCCCCTCCCCTCTCTCTCAAATAAATAAATAAATCGTTTAAAAAATAACTGGTATTAAGAAGTTAGGTGGGTTGACAGCCAACTGAACCCAGGTGGATAGAGAATCCGTTAACTGGAAGAAAGGACAGTTGGAAGTATAACATTTGAAGCATAAGAGAGAAAGAATAGTAGAGAAAAGAGTAAGAAGAGACACATGGAAAACAGGGAAAGGGCCAACACATGTAATTGGAGGCTGAGAGGGGAGAAGGAAGATAAGGAGCCAGAATCCGTTTTGAAGGGATAATGTCTAAGAATTTTCCCAAACTGACAGGAGGTATCTGTATCAGTGTAGATTGGAAAGAATCCACAAACCCCAAGCAGGATATATACAAGGAAAAAAAATGTACTTAGGTATCATATTCAAACTATTGAAATCAAAAAACAAAAAGAAAAATTTAAAAGCAGTGCATAAGAAACTGGAATGACATCTTTGAAGTGCTGGGGAAAAACACAAATGTAGAGGTAAAATAGAGACATTTCTCAAACAGAAACCGAGATGAGTCATATAAGATGATTTCTATAAAAAGAAACACTAAAGGTAACTCTTCAGTCATAAAGAGAATGAACCCAGATGAAAGCACAATAGTGGAAAGAATGAAGAGCAAGAAAAAGGGCATATATGTGGGTAAATTGAAATTAATAATAACTTTGCAGACCAATAATGATAATCCACTATGGGTTTAAATATATATAGAATTAAAATACATGACAAGAATAATTCAGTATGTATTAAATGGAGTAAAAGTGTTTTAAGTTCCATGAAATGTCTGTGAAGAGATAAAAGTACTAATTTATATTAGATACCAGCATGTCCAGAATATGTGCTTTAATATCTAGAGAAACAGCTAAAAGAATAGAGAATATTTAACTATCAAGCTATTGGCAGGGAACTGGAATAATATTAAATGTGCCTCATTAATACAAAAAAAAAGCAGGAAAGAGAGAAAAAGGATCCTACTTACAGTTGAGACTAATAGAACAGATACTGAAATGGTATATATAAACCCAAATATTATCATTAATTACATAAGATGAATAATTAGTGATTTTTGTGGCTTGCGTAGGAAGTCTGTGTCTAACCCAAGATTGTGAAGAAATTGCACCACAGGTTTTTTTCTTTAGCTTTCACATTTAAGTCTATAATCTATCTTGAATAAAACCAAGGTTTATGTAACTTTTTCCATTTGCATATTCAATTGACCCAACACCAGTGAAAGACAATTCTTTTCACACTGACTTGCTTGCTATGAGTCTTTGTCATAAATCAATTGAACCTATCTGTGTGGGTCTACTTCTAGATACTTTATTTTGTTCCATTGGTTTTGATTTTTGAACCTGTGTTAATTGATAATTTTAAAGCACTTTTTTTTTTTTATTTTTTAGAGAAAGAGCATGGGAACAGGAGGTGGGGTAGATGAGGGAGGGCAGAAAGAGCGGGAAAGAGAATCTTTTTTTTTTAATCTTAAAGCAAGCTCCACTCCCAGTGCAGAGCCCAACACAGGGCTTGATCTCATGACCCTGAGTTGATGACCTGAACCGAAATCAAGAGTTGGACACTTAACCAACTGAGTCACCCAGGTGCCCCTAAAATACATTTTAATTACTCTAGATTCAGATTAGCCTAGATAAAAATTCTCTGAACCAATAGAAGATCATACATATATGTGTGTGTATATATATACACATATATATATGTATATATATATATACATATATATATACATATATATATACACACACATATATATTATACATTATATACAATTATATATAATATGCTTTATAATAGCATAATAGCATAAAAATAGCATAATAGCATAAAAATAGCATAAAAACAGTGCATACTTACAGGAAAACCTAACACCTTATTTTCAATATCTCTACGCAGAAAACTACAACACATTTGGAAAAATTTTAAAAAACATAAACATGTGGAGAGATATACCATGATTGTGGATTGGAAGATGCAATATTTTCCCCACATTGATCTTATATTCAAGGAAATTTCAGTAAAATCTCCAGCATATATTTAAAATTGACATGATCATAAATCATATGAAAAAGCAAGGGCTCAAGAATAGCAAAGATAATCTTAAAAATGACTCCCCAAACTGGATGGCTCACATTATCAGATATCAAGATTTATTATGAAGCTACGGTAATTAAGAGTGTGGTGATATATATATCCTATATACACAAGCTAATTAAGAAAGGGAATAGTGAGTCAAGAAACACACACACACACACATATATACACGTCTACACACACATACTCTATGACATATGAGACACTGTAGTACAGTAGATCAATGATAATTTTTTCAATAAATGGTGTGATGACATCAAAATCCATGTGGGAATATATGAATCTTGATCTCTCTCAACACAAAAAATAATTCCAACTGGAATAATTTTGAAAGATTAAAGTGTTTAAAGGAAAATGCAGAAGA